GCCGCGCCGCGCTCGAAGCCCGGCGGGGGCGGGCCCCTGCCCAGCAGGTGCAGGACGTAGTCGCGCTGACCTGGCGCGCAGGGCACCTCGTCCAAGCACTCGTACCGCAGGAGCAGCAACTGCAGCTGCAGCCCCCGCGCGCCTGCTCCGCTGCCCGCGCCCTTCTCGCCGCCGCTGCCGCCGCCGCCGCCGCCGCCCTTGCCGTCCGCGCCGCCGTCCAGTCCGAGCGCCTCCCTCGCGCGTTTTTCGAGTCGCAGCGCGGACTGCAGGTCCGACAGTTCGAATTCGAACGACAGGTAGCGCTCCCAGAGCGGCAGGCTGCGGCGGTTTGACTCCTCGGTCAACGCGCGTTCGAACAGGGCGCGCGCGTTGTTAGCGTCGCCGATGTCTGCAGGGAGGTCGGGGGTGGGAGCCGAGGGGCGCGGAGAGGGTGGGGGGAGGAAGGGGCGTTGGCTGGCGCGGGGGAGGCTCACGCGCAGCCGGGATCGGGGTTGGTTAGCCGGCCGCAGCGGCGACGCGGCGGCGCGACCCGCGGAACCGGGAGCCGTCCCCAGCCGCCCCTTCGACCCGGCGCGCGCTGGAAGGCCCGGACGCCACTGATTACCAGCGGTGCGGCGCCCTCCTGCCTATCCGGCACGCAGCACACAAAAAAGCTGCGTTCCCCTGTTCCACGCACACCCCTCGGCGGGCCGCCCTTTCCCGACCCGCCCTCAACAGACTTCCCGCCAACCCAGGAGCGCACCGCAGAGGAATCCAACGTACTGCAGGACGTACCGCGGCTCCGTGAGGCAGCCGCTGTCCAGGCCCTTTTCGAATATCTTGCGCGCCACCTGGAGGGCGGGAGTTCAAGTTTCAAACGGCACGGTGATAGACCAGAGTGACGTGAGACGACCCCGTGCGTGTGTGCGAGTATACACTGTTGAATGTGTTGCGCGTGGAACGTGTGCTGTGTTGACCGTGTTGGCTGGCGCGGGCGCAGTGGACGGTCGTGCCGGGGCCCAGCAGGCGCTCGCGGCGCGCGCACCTCCTTTTCCCGGGACAAGCGCCACTCCATGCCTGCCGCCGCCGCGTAGACCTGCCAGGGGCAGTCTGGCGCGCGGCGCGCCCGGATGAAGAGCTGGGGCCCGGGGGTGGGGGGGGGGGGTGTGCCGTGGGAGGGTGCAAAGGGTGAGCGTGTGGAGGGTGAGGGTGGGTGGCGGGGTGAATGGGGGGCCGGCCAAGAAGAGAGGGCTTTGAGGGGTCATAGTATGCCTGGACCCAGCGTGCGTTGCTGCCAAAAGAGAGCGACTGCAGGGACGCGCGTGCGTTCCAAGCCAGCTGCGCCATGGCGCGCAGCGCGCGCAAGCAACGTACCCAACGCAAGCCGCGGCCTCCCACGACCTCAAGCCGCCGCCCCCCCACCCCCCCTGTGATGCGGCGGCCCCCTTCAATGGATCAAGAAATCCACAGAGCACGCACCCGCCGCGACCCCGCCACGTCGCTGCGCCGCAGGTGGCGCATGTACTGGATCCACGCCAGCGCCCGCTGGTCCGGCGGCAGCTCCGCCACCGGCCCGCCACGCGGAGCCGCGGGCTCGCCCGGCGCGGCCGGCTTGGGCTGCTGCTGCTGCTGCTGCTGCTGCTGCTGCTGCTGCTGCTGCTGCTGGGGGTCGCCGGCGGCGCCCGCGGGGGCTGCCGGTGGCGGCTGCGCCTCGAGCTGAGAGACGAGGGCCTCATAGACCTGTGTGGGTGGTGGGGTTGGGGATTTGTGCGTATTCAAATTAGCTGAGAAGCAGAGACAAGACGAGGCTCGGCGCCTTTGGCACACACACACACGCGCACACTCTCAAACGCGCGTGCGTACTCACGCGCGCACACACACACACACACGCACACACACACGCACGCACACAGACACACATGCAGTCACGCACAACCTACTCACTCACGCGGGCGTGCGCACACCCCCCCCCCCACACACACACAAACAAATACACACACACGCGCACACACACATACACACACACACACACGCACACACACACGTGTCCATATACACACACACCTGCTTCGCCTCCTCCCCCTTGCCCATCGCCTCGTGGGCGTCCGCCAGCGCAAAGTGCAGCATCAGGCAGTCGGGCAGCGCCTCCGCCGCGCGCGTCAGGACCGCCACAGCCGCGTCCGGGCCGTCGCCGCTGTCGCCGTGCCACCGAGAGTACTCGTACCACAGCTGCGCGGGGGGAATCGATTTGCAAAATCACCAAGGGGGTCAGCAAATGGGCGAGTTAGTTGGATGGTGGCGTGTGGCGGGCGTGCCACAGGGAGTACTCACACCATAGCTGTGAGTCCGCACACACAGGGCGAACCGTCGGCGAGATTACAGAGGGGTCGGCAAGTGCGTGAGTTGGTTGGTGGGTGGCGTATGGCGGGCCCCGCACGGCGGCTGGGCCTCGAGGCATGGCGGAGTTTTGTGGGAAGGCGCATTGGGCCGTGCGCGGGGGTGGGAGGTGCCAGGGGGTGCTCGGAATGCGCGGCCGCGCCGCCGGCGCCGCCGGCGCCGAGGGCGGCGCTGCGCAGCTAGACAGCTAATGGTGATTGACAGGGCGTTCGGAGTTGCATATATGTGCACGCAAACGGCAGGAATCGTTTGGGCATTCAGAGAGACGTCGAGAGAGTGTGGGGATGAGAGAGTGCACGTGTTTTTTTTGTGTGAGTGTGTGTTTGTGCAAGAGAGGGGGGGAAGGGACAGAGAGAGAATGTGTGTGTGTGTGTGTGTGTGCGCACGCGCGTGTGTGTGTGTGTGTGTGTGCATGCGCACACAAGAGAGGGAGAGAGAGAGGTGTGTGTGCATATGATGTGTGGTGTCTGTGTGTGCGCGCATGTGCGCTGTGCGTGCGTCCTTGTGCGCCATGTCATCGTGTGTGCATGCCCGCGCGCACCTCCGGGAAGTGCCTCAGCGCCATGAGGGCTTGGTCATATGCCAGCGCCACGCGCGCCACCAGAGCCTCCCGGTCCAGCCGCTGGGGGTTGGAGCGCTCAGAGTCGACGTACGCCTTCCAGAGCCGCGCCTGGTGCTCCTGTGC